TTCACTGCTCTGCACTGTTATGATGCAGAATTGGAATTTACTGAAAGCGCAGGAGGCAACTGGACAATGGTTTTGATATTCTAATTACACTTGATCTTACGTGTTGGTTGAAAAGCAAATTAATATTACTTAGACTAAAACCACTTGCCAAGTGATGTGTCTTATACACTTGTACTGTGCTGTCCTTTACTACTTCAGATAAATTCTGTCAGTGACTCTGTCAGTAATTTTTGCTGCCAGACAAGATAAGAAAGGGAAAAGATCCTATCATAGAAAAGCAGTGCCTGCCACTCTAAAGGATGGTAGCAATGAGTTACTGCTTTGTTTTATATTTAATTCCAGAAGTTGCTAGTATTTCTATTTCCTGGTAAAAAGAAACAGTAATGACACTGAAATACTAAAATGCAAAGTTTGGCTGTGTCCAGCAACCTAAGCTGAGCTGCAAGTCAAATTTGCAGAATGTAAAGCTTGTACAGGCAAAAGGCAAGGTAGGCAGGAGCCTTCTGCAACTTTGAAGCAAATCAGATACCCTATCTTATGTACTCAGAGACTCTGAAGTTATTCTGAATTTGTCTAGATGGCATGTCTCGTTGCAAATGTTTCAGCTGAGACTGAATATAAACTTTGGAGAACTAATTCTTGGAGCACTAATACTTCAGGCCTCAAATCTGAAGAGTGTTCTTTCCCTAGCCATGGCCAGAAGTTGCTCTTTACTTCAGGAAGGACCTGAAAGACACCAGATAACTGTATCCCTTGAGGACCAGGAAGTTTGGGGTAGAAAGTATAACTCTTAATTGGCTTCAGAGTGTAAAGAAACATACTTTTATCTATCATCTGTCCACCACAGCCTTAACTACTCACTTAAAATCAAGCTTTTCCTCTCAGAAAACCAATAACCTAAATAAGCTTTTGTCTTTAAACCATGTGAATGCCAATGTTCAAAAAAGTGCGTAGACAGAGTAAATGTATTGTGCATTTTGAATGAGCATAACACCTCTGATGAATAGTAGAGAGCCTTCCTAGTGCCACAGTGGACAGAGTGTACTGAAAAGGCAAACCTGGTCCTTTGGTTACTTCCTTAGATTTTTCTTTCACTTGTTTTTCACGGTGATGACCGCATGGCACCCCTGCTCTACAGCCTTACAATCAATACTGCTGTGTGAAGGTGAACTGCTAGGGAGGGGAAAGGGGGAAGACAGCTTATGTGTTTTTTTGTTAAGTTTGAAGATAGGCAGTTCTTAATGTTCAATTTCATTGCAATTTCTGCGTTGCTGTGCATAATTATTAAGAGTAGGCTTAAAGGAGATGAACATTACACTTACCTAAGATAAATTATTGAAATAAGAATACCTTCACAAAAAGAGGCAGAAGAAAGAACGATAGCTAAAGTGGAAATACTGACAGCCACATAAGACACAGCCAGTATTGTTCAAGCTGTTCAGTTTCTTGAAGATGCGATGGTATCTGAAACAACGATGTGATCTTCTTATGACACTTCTATATAGCAGAGCTGTCTGCTGCCCTTAAGTGTTCTGGTACAGCTTCTAGCTGCTGTATTAGACTGTGCAGCTGTGGTTCCTCCACTGCATTCTTTTGCCCAAACTTAAACCTATTAGGCAGGAGTTTCATTTTTCTAGACTCTCATATTTTATTACTTAAGTATTACAAAACTGTTGTTAGAATTCAGTTTGTTAAACACATAACATAACTCCATGGCTTTATAGTATAGCCACTGTACCAATAATTATAGCCTCTATGATTATACGAGTTGGGAATTTAAAGTTAAATAGCATTTCAAAAAAAAAAAAAAAAGAATTTGGATATGCATTTGGTTAACTTACAGAGGAAATTATAGTAATTTTGTTTCAAAAACCGATAAACCTTACAGTAGCATCTTAAATACAAAGTTCAGAGTCCAAAAAGGAAACTGAACGCTATTTTACTGAAGCTTATTTTGTGTTGAGTAATTCTAATGGTTGTACTTCTTCCGTTCCAGAACTATTGTGGCACTGGTATATAACGTGCTGAAAACCCTGATGGAAATGAATGGCAAGCTTTTTGATGATCTTACGAACTCATACAAAGCAGAAAGGCAAAGGTACTGATTACTTTGTCCAAATGTGTGTTATGAATACATACCTAACGTGTACCAGCTGACAAGCAGAACTTAACGGTGGTGGCTGTGGGGTGCTGTAGTGGAAGCGCTGGCTGAATACTGCTCCTGGCTGTCACTTGAGTAAGAAGCACCCACTGTGCAGGTGTGTGGCAGCACCATGGCTGGCACTGAAGCCCCGGGGTGCTCGGTGCATTCAGGAGTGCTCCAGTCTCAGGTGGGGGAACCAGTCTCAGCTGCTGCTGCAGGGGGCTGTGCTGTCTGGAGAAAGCTCTGCTGGATAATGCTTCATAGCTCAGCCAAAGCCTGCCCTATCCTACTAACCTACTAACGTGTACGTTGGAGCAGGGTAGACGTGGTCCTAGGCTGGCTGAAAGCACATGTTAAGGCTCCATTCAACAGTTGTGCTTCCACCACCCCAAAACGCTCTTTATCGTGTGCAAACAAGCAAGAAACAGAACTTCCTTAGAACTGTAGTCATCTGTGCAAAACCATTCTACAGCAATTGTTTGAGTTGGAGCAAAGTTACTGTTTTACCACTAACCTTTACTAATTTGTACGTTCACTTTTTAATAGAGCAAACCGTGATTGCCTCAAAATAGCTTTGGGGTGGAACTTACATTACAAATTACTAGATGTAGAAGAACACGGTTGCTTTAGGTACCTGCATCTCCACATTGCACTTAAAAACACATCTGAAATTGATACTTCGCTCTTTCCTACAGAGAGAAAAAGAAAGAATTGGAACGTGAAGAGTTGTGGAGAAAGCTAGAGGAGTTAAAGCTTAAGAAGGCTATGGCAGAAAAGCAGAACAGCACTCACAATGTGCTAAACACACACAGTACAAGTGCCAAATAAAAGAAATGACAACCTCTACTCGGCAGATATACTTTTTGTACCCTTTTGAAATATCTAAGAATTTGCAAAATAAACCTCATCAGTATATAAACAGCCAGCTTTTTCTCTGGCGCAGTGTAAATGAAAAGATTTGAATTTAAATACAGCAGTTACGTGATGTCATTATCACAGCATATTGTAAATTTGTCTAATTATTGATATACTGTCACTTCCAGCGTTTCATAGACCTGAATTATCATCCTTAATGAGTGAAATAATTACGGGAGTGGTGAGAATTATGACTTGAATTTTTGATTGTGTTGCACATAGGTGGTATAGTTTGCTATGTACATTTTTTTTCCTTGTTTTATATGTGCTTTTCACATCGCTGCATACTTTGGTTAAGAATATAGAAAAGGCTTCTAGTTGTGCTGTATTTTCTCAAATAAAACCAAGGTACGTTACCAGTAACGTGAAAAACGCAGTATGTGCCCCTTACAGCCTTGAAAGGAACTCACGTGGTGCTGTTCTTGAATTTGTGATTGAATTCAGATTTAGATTTACGTGCAAGTTCACATTAGCATGAGGCAAAGTAGGAAAAGAAAAAAAGTCAGCTCAATCAGGTCAGGATGGTCCATGCATCTGCCTGCCACTTGGTGAGTGCCTCTACCCCCTTCTCACTGCCTGGTGGTCCTGGGCCTACTCCAAGATTTCCTCCTGCTATAGCTGAGGATGGAGCTTCCTTTAGAGAGCCCATCAATGATGCTCCTGGTCAGCCCAAGGACTCCCTGTGGAGTAGTGTCATTCTAGAGACTATCTCGGACACCTCTGCATTAGTTTTAGCACCTTGTGGACTGAAGAGTGAGACCAAAATTGGGATTTTTTTTTTTTTTTAGTGCAGCAGGAAGGCTGTCAGTAACTAGTTCCTTGTTTTATTTAAAGAAAATGCAGTCTGCTTTTTAAAGGTGGAAAGTTGACTATAGAAGTCTTGTCTGTTTTACTTGATCAAGTATATTTCACATCTTTTATCAGAGTACCATTCCAATCTCTTAAATTGCAGTTGTGTGGAAAACTTTTGTAATGAAAGATCTTTGGGGAATTGAGCAGCATTCAATAAAGTCTTTATGTTTGTATTTAGTGCTGTAATCACATCTTTGTGCTTATAAAGACCAGGAGAATTAGAACGGCTTTCACAAATAACCCTTGAACTGCACTACACTTGTCACTTAATGAAAAGCCACGAGTTATTTAGACAAAACTGTTAAACCCCAGTGACCCCTGCTTCTAACTTTAGTGAGTAGGGCGGAGGGATTTGTTCTGCTCTGTTAAGCCCATGGGGCCTGAAGAAGAGGCAAGAGCAGGAACTGCAAGTGACTCCCTCCTCCCCTCACCTGGCTGGACAGAGGAGAACCTGTACATCGCATGCAGCCAGTATTGCTGCTTTTCTAAAGTGCCTTGATTTTGCTCTAGAAATCACCTGGAAGTAGTACATTTTGTCCCAAAACACTTCCTTAAAATCTCAAGTACAAAGAACTGGGGGGTGCTCTTGCCATACTTACTGCTTTATTAGCACTCTCTGTTAGTAGGGGATGGAAGAAGCAGAAGTTAACTCGGCATGCTCCCTTCCTCGCAGCAAACCCTTCCAAGCAAACACGCAGTAGTGCACTGCTGCCTTGTAGACTGCACAATTCTCAGTGAGGCATCTGGACTAGTAAGGGACTTATAAGGAAGAAAAAGACTACACACCACACAGCACAGTTAGTTAGTGCACATTCTCTGTATAATAGAGAATCTCATTTAAATGCCAGGCTGATGAAAGACTTTTTTAATTCCTCAGGAAATAAGGAAGGGAAATAGTCTTGAGAATTAGATTTTGAAATTTGTCATCAGCTCAGATGCCCAGCTATGCTCAAGTTTACTTCGAGTTAGACTGATAATTTTTTGTTTTTTACTTACATGTTTTGCCTTAATACTCCCATTTCGATTAGCTCCTGTGAAACTCTAGCTGCAAGCTGAGAGCTGGCAGTTTCAAGAGAAGGTACACAACAGCTTAATTGAACGTGTTGGTCTGTTTTAATATTAAAGTCAATACACTTTAAATCAAAAGTGACATGTAATAGAATTCCAGTGTATTTTGTTTTAAGACACACTTTGGAGAGGGGAGGCCAGACTGTTTTTTTTTTGCATGGTCTTTCCCTTCCACTTAACAGTCAAAGAAGTAACTGCATTCTGGTAGCAGATGCAGGTCACAGCTCATGCAGAAGTTAAATAGCTTCCTGTTCTGAGAAGCATTCAAAACTGTCTTTTTTTTATATAAAGAATTTAACTGCTACAGCATATTAGTGAATTTTCTCCTCTCTCCCCACTCCCCTCATACATTGAGGTAAGCTTGTTAAGTTTGGAATAGAAAAGCATGAGTTTGTTAGCCCTGTCTAGAGTTAGCTCTGTTCTGAAGTTCAAACGTCAGTTCGCTAGGCTGTTACTCCAGCAGCTGTGTTTTTCCTGAAGAAAACATACCTGGTTTACATCTTTAACTGCTGTCTCACTGAATGAAGTTCATTCCAGTTATTTTCTGTCCCTTCTGCTGTGAATAGTTAAAAGGCAGTCTTAGTCTCAGCTTATGTGGTTCATTGCTTGACTTCTCCTCTTCAGATGTCTCTTTCGGATTTTGATCATCCACTTAACACTTAACTTAGCAAAGTCTGCTGCCTTAAACAGAGCCAAAAAGATGCCACAGAGAAGAGCAATCATGTTCCAAGGATTTGCTGTGATTATCTGAAACAGATTAAAAATATTATTCCCCTCCTCTGACTTGGTATATATTATACCTATGCATTAACAAACAAGTCTCTTCTGTGTTTTGTGGCCCATGCCTTCATGCTGCACAGCAGGCCTGGACTTAGCGCCTTTGCCACACATCTACCTTGCTCTACGATTTTTCCAATTCCTTCTGTGAGGAAGGAAACGCACAGATCCCAGGAGATGCCTGTACTAGCTACTAAATTCCTTTTAGACTACTTCAGCATGGTAAATTGTTTAAAATGTTGGAGATAATTATTAAACTGCTAATTTAACCATAAGGATTACATTTACTACGTTATTTAAAGATTTACAAAAACAAGCAGTCCCATGAAAGACGATCTTCCAAAAGATAAACCTAAAAGAAGCAACTGCTGGAAAGCTTTAACAAGACAGTGTTGTAATGCCAAACTAGGTTTTGACAGCGGCAAGCGTTTCTGTAGAATTGCAGCAAGTATTTTATGTTTCTATTTTTATCTATATTTGGTTCAAAAGTAGTTAAGCTTATTTATAGTTTGCAATTCTCCTTGTGCCCGTAGGCACAATGATGGCTTCTAGGATCTCGAGATGAAGTGAGGGGATCTGGGCTCAGGCAGCAATAAAGTAACAGCTTTCAGATCCGCCATGGGGTCTGCAGCACTGGTGATGGTCAGCACAAGTGCGGTGTCACTGGGTCACCACCCAAGCCAGAGGGCCCTAAAACAGGCTTCCCCTACTTGTAAATCACAGTGGCTTTGGGCAAAAAAAGAGGAATTTGAGAGATTTTGTTCATGACAGACCAGGTTGTCAAGCTGGGCCATTTTAAATGCCAAATTTTAAACAGATTGACTTCGCACATTTTGCTGTTCCGTATTTTTCTAGGGAAGGTAAACAGATCTTTTTCCCCTGTGCTCCCCTGGAGCACCAGATCCATCTCACATGCTAAGCACATATACCTGCAGGGATCCACACACCTTTTAAGCACTCCAGTGACTGACAGTGATCTTGTCTGGCACATCGCACACCTCTAGCTGCAGTACACTGAGCTGAATTTTGAGTTTTTGTTTTGTTTTGTTTTTTTAAATGCAGTACCAAGTTCTGTTCAGACAAGGGCCAAAAATTAGACCACTTTGTTTTTTATTATTATTATAAATTTTGGTTTTATTAGTCTGATTTAAGTCTCGTCTTCTTGCATGTCAATTAATAGGAAGAGTCATTAAATCAATTTACCCAGGCACACTTACTTATTTAAGCAAAATGTTCAGACTTGACCTGAAGCTACAATTTGCTAATGTACAGGGGCCAGGTTTCTTAGCTACGTGCACCTTTAGCTGCAAGAATAATGCTGAGTGTCACTAAGACAAGGGAAGGCTGCAGATAGTCTTGAGCCCCACTTAATAATTATTGCTGAATTAAAATAAAATAAACAAGCACCCGACTGAAATTTAAAGAGTAACTTCACTCTTCTTCTGGTACCTCACTCCAAGTAGAAACTCAGAGGCATACATACACACACACACACCATGAGCACATATAGGCTGACGATTCAAGAAGGTGCTAGAAGGTTACTTACATCCTGCACAGTCTGTATAAAAGGATCTTTCCATTCAAAGACGACAAAAAACAGCTGGTCACTTCTTGGTTTAGTCCTCTGGTCAATATAGTTAACCACACTAGTCTGGGAGAGGGGGAAAAAAGGTGAAAAAGGTGCAGGTTACTTTCTGTAGTAGTGTAATCCAGTTTTCTGTGCAACAGAAAAGGCTAGAAGGTGAAAACAAAGTCTTACTTCACACATACCTTACAGGTACTCCTTTCTGTCCCCACATGCTCACAGCCCATATTCTCTTTAAAAATCAAAATGATTAAACAGATGCACAGTTAAGTTCATATACCCAGGCAAGGACAAGCCAGATTTGTTCCAGTTGCAGGAAGGCAATAGGAGGTTTGGTGTAATTCAAGGAAGAGCAAGAGATGCCAGATCAAAGCCTTCATCTAGAGCATTGCTGCCCAAGCAGCTTACTGAAAGCACTTTGTTCCAGGAACATCAAGAATAGTCCCGTTAAAGACAGCCTATCCATTCTCAAGATAACTGCAGCTGAGCTTTGGAAATGCCATTATGCATCACTTCTCAAAAACAAAAAAATTCCCCTTCCAGGTGTGGGGAGCTCATTTACAAAATTCATTTACTTGGGGTAATATGGCATTTGGAAAGTTCCCATGAATGAAGGTTACGTTACTGTTATTTGCCAGAGAACTACACAATGATGGCAGGAATCATCTTTTTTGGAGGATCAGTTGTAGCACAAGCTAGATACCAGCAGTTGCAGAATGAAAATGGATGTGGAAAAAAAAGCCTACGTATTAATGATTTTAGGCTGTGAACACACAGCAGCACTGTACGTGTCTGTTTCGAGCGTATGGGAGCTTTACCAACTCTCGTTACCTTACACTTCTACAGCCCGTGTAATTATTGCAGCGCGCGACCATCCCAGCCATACTCACTCAAGAAAACTGCACAGCAGGAAACAACCAGCTCACACAGCTGCCTACAAGCAGCGGGAAGAGCAGAAAAGACCAAGTAATGGTCTTTTCTAGGTAAGTACCAAAGGGCAAATGAAACAGAGCTGTAGGTAATGAAGGACAGACAGCCCGCTGCTGCCAGTGCTTACATGACATCAGCCGACCGCTGCATCCCTTCCTTCAAGCCCAGGCCTTCACTGCATGACTGGGGGATTCTGCTGCTGCCCTCCCCCAGTGGAACCAGAGGGTACCCAGCTCTCAGTCACACCTCTGCTCTTCCCCCAACCCTTTGCCACATAAGCGCTCTTTACAAGTGGACCACGGACTAAGGGAAAGCGTAGTAGTGTGCCTGGAAGATGCACTATCTTAAAAGGACTGCTCTTAAAATTCTCTTTTCTCATCACCAATGAGCTTCTTCCTCTCCCACCAACACTGGGAGCAAGCTAACAGGCTCAGAACACAATTATTCTCCTGTCCGTAAGCATTAACAGAGCAGGAATGGAAGTCAAACTTACTTCATCTCTAGCTAAGTTTGCACCTTCCCCTTGTGTATTTTCTAGCTTTAAATGATGCAAGAAGTTGAGATACTCCACATTTCTAAGGATACTCAACAGATAAAAGTCTCAAATCCAAACAAAAAGCAGACGTGAGAGTGCTATAAAGGGTACTTAGCTTATGTTACCTCTTCATCCTAATATCAGACCCTGTGGTACCTCTTTCCATTACTGTTACTTAGATAATTCCTTCGAAAATCCCTACCTTGAACTAAGGCAACTCTGTTAGTTTTTCCGTATCAGTCTCTTCAGACCCATACCTCAGACTACAGGTGTCACCGATGACACAGGCAGGGCCTGGAGTTTCTCACCTCTCTGCTAAGATGTTTTTCCTGCAGTGTCACCATACCAGTAGCAGAGCACACCACGACATTAACGCTTTGACAGAGCCTCTCCACGTTGAGAAAGAACACAAGTAACTGCACAGCCAGTTCAGCTTCCAAAACCGCCCAGTGGCAAGTGGTATAACGAATGCCATTAAGCAAAAGCCAGCCTCCTGATACTCCACTTCAAAACAGACGACCCCTTCCTCCAGCTCATGTTGCTAAGTGCTCCAAGAGGTAGTTTTGTTAGCCAATTATCATTAAAAACATGCAACATTTTGACAGCCCCCAATTTTTAAATCAACTAACAGGTCCTAAAAAAATAAAACCATATATTTGGGAAGTTAATATTATCTTTACCTCTTGTTTGAATTCAACAGTCTCACTACCATCTTCTTCCTTTGTTTTCACCAAGGACATCTTGACCCAAGTTCGAAAGCCTCCGGAAAACTTCCAGCTGGAGTACGAACTTTCACAGTCCTTCATGAATTCTGCTTTTTCTGGGCTAAAGGAAAAAAGACCATTACTTTACTGACCAAACTCTGAGCAGTGTCTGGGCATTGAAGGCAGTGAAATGTCAGGCCTACACTTCAAAGCACGTTCAAAGCCCTTTATATTTAGATAGGCTAAAATCAAGCCTATCTAAAACACTGGTAGTAGTAATGTTTTGGCACTTGCACTCTTGTTCTTAACTGCAGATGACCCACCTGGTGCCCTGCTGTCCCAGTACTGCCTCCCCGTGCAGATCTGCTGCTTTAGGGGAGCTGTGACTTAATGCTGTGACCTGCAGCCATTTTAAGCCTCCCCATGCTCCTCACGCAGCAAGTGATAAAGAGGTAACTCCAGGGCCTGTCTGGTGTCTGCTAAATGCACAGGACATGGTGAATTCACCTCTCCGTTTACTTTGAGCTCCTCAGCACTGTGATTTTAGCCACTTTCACGTCACCTCCACAAAATAAGCCTGTCCCTGCAGCTGCCTTTCAACAAGGTTTCGCTCGAAACGAGCGGGTAAACCACTGCGATGAGTCACGAAGCACTGAAGCGCAGACTGCTGATTTTTACTAAAGATAGATTTCATGTTACAAAGCCATGCCAGGGTATGCTGGTCCTTAAAAAAGGGAGAAGGAAAGGGTTTTTCCCTCCGAACAAACACATCTTCCTAGGTGAAGGCAAAGAGCTTTTGTTCACATGGCAGAGGGAGCACGTGGCTGGGCCCGCTGGGAGATGAAGCCTTTTTGGTCTTCCAGGAGAAAGATGCAAAGAAGTAAAGAAGACAAGGAGAGCTGAAGAACAGGCCAATAGGGAATACTGGCCCTGCACCAGCACTGGCTGGATTTGCACTTTACATTTTTCCTTAGTCTTCAGAATTAGGGCTCCTCTTCTAGTTTAACTAAAAGGGGAGATTCAGATGAGATGTTAGGAGGAAATTCTTCACTCAGAGGCTGGTGAGGCACTGGAAGAGGTTGCCCCGAGAAGCTGTGGATGCCCCATGCCTGGAGGCGCTCAGTCAGGCTGGAGGGGCCCTGGACAACTTGATCTAGCGGGTGGCATCCAGTGGGTTGGAACTGGATGGTCTTTTAGGTCCCTTCCAACCCAAGCCATTCTGTGATTCTGTGGTATCTTTGTCTATCTGTGCCATTAGCTGTTTGCTCAGTTGTCCCAACAGGATGGCAGCACACTTCTCCAGCCCCCACTGGGAAGATTTGGGCAAAGCATCACAAAGTCCAACGCCTGACTGCTCCTTGCCATACGAACCACTGACGTAGGGAGACCTACCCTGGCAATTATTTCTTCCCCTTTTGGTGTACGGGTACAGCAGCAGCCGATGGGACAGTCAGGAAGAACACGGTGCTTTGCCACTCGGAGGAACATAATTAGCACCCTGCCAGCCAGCCACACGCCTCATGCATGACTCAACGCAGCATCCCAGCGCAGCTTTCCAAACCAACATGGAAAATTGAAGCAGGAAGCTATGACATGGAGCTGAGCACTACAGCCACAACTCACTTGGTAAGCAGGCAGCAGTACAGTATTTTGCCCGTGACAGTAATTGTGGGCTTGAAAAAGAAACATTAGACTCTTAGGAGGAGCAATCTGAGACGGCATCTCCTTGCGTGCGCCTATAATCCAGGCCACTGCCAAACAGATGGGGGGGGGAGAACAGAAAAAAAAAAAGGGGAGGGAAAGGACAGAGCAGAGACACAGAAGCTTTGCACAAATAATAGCAGAGGGCAAGCAATGTCCACCAGTTCCCCTGTGCTCAGGGAACTGGGAACTCTCTGACAGCCATGGGATGTAATAAAGGGTCAGATGCGGTACTGAAAGTCTCGACCCTTCCGTGTTGTTATTTGTTTCTCTGCACGCAGCAATCCAGACCAAAGAAGTAAAGATGAAGCTCTGTTTGGACACAGAAATAATCTCTGACCTGTTCAGACTGGTATTCATCATCTCACATGACCAGAAGTTATTTTACATGCTAAGCTAACAATAGTTTTGACTATTGACTATATGTTCAGAGGATTTTCTTCTTAAACCCATGTATTACACTAATGATAGTTGAGGAAAGGAACTTGTATTTTTAGCTACACTTTTTGGGTAATTTGCAAGGGTTTCATTATTTCCTTCCCTCCAATTAATATGGCACAGCAACTGCCACTGTCTTAGAAAAAAAAAAAAAGAAGAAAAATACAAAAGAAAAAACACAGTGGCAGTACCCTTCCAGCTCAGTCCAACAATAGCATATAGTGCAGCAGTGCTCTGCGAGGGCCAGAACAAAACCAGCAAGCACTGCCAGCTTCATGCAGTCTGTTGATCCAACTTTAACACGAGAGCTGCAGAGAATAAAACCCTTGACAAAGACAACTGGACCCTGAGTCCTTACCACTTGCTATGCCTCAGGAAAATCCTTAAAGATACAAGAATCCAGATGCCATTTTTATTATTGCTTATGATATGATTACTGTTCACTGATGCGATTATTGTTATTTAAAGCAAAAGCGAGCTGCACAGAATTGTGCCTGCAAAGAAGCTGTGCCGTTGATACAGCTGGACCACCCTCACCAATTTCAAAGGCGTTCAGACTGATTTCAGATGATGGAATACCTCCAGACATATTTTACAGCAGTCTGCCTATCCATTCCATCCTAAGCTCTTTGCAGACATTGCAAATAAAACTGTAAAGGTAATCGTGATAGCTGATGCGTTTTAGCACGTAGCTCAGGATCTTTAACAGCACTTTACATGAGTTGCTGGGCACGGTGCTAAGAGCACGCTCTTGTAACCCCTAAGTGAGACACTGTGTCAGGAAAAGTAGTTAACAGCAGTGAGCGTTTGAAGGCTATATGGAAGGACAAAATTACACTGTCAATGCACAACAGTTTCTAAGGATATCAGTCCAGTCCTTCCAGCAGCTAAATTCAGCAGCAGCTGACGAGCCGGAAGCCATTTCTGCTTCCTCTCCTGCTGGAAGCCAGACAGAACAATGCCACATCCAAACACACCCCACACATGCATGGCATTTCATGTGCTCAGGAGAAAATGCAGGTTTTCAGCCTGCCCCAAGCCAGTCTGGTTGGTGCCCTGGGATGCCAGGAGAGCACTGCACAATCCCAAACGAGGTAAGGCATGCAGGTTGTGCTGAGCTTTGGAGGATGCTGCAAAAGAGGCAGTACCAAAGCATCGTGCACACACTGGTTCTCTGTACTTTACCCAGACACGCAGATCATTTCCCACCACATTTGTAGATCTTTGCCAGTTTTCCCATTACTTGCATTACTTCCAAACCAGCCTTACCTCACGTTCTTGTCTGCCACAAACAGGCACAAAGGATGCATATCCCCAACCAGACAACATTTCCTGCCTTTTGCATTGCTCCAAGCATGCCCTGGCCTCAGCCTTCATGCCCCAGCCTCAGTTCTGCTGCCTTCCAACAGGGACAAAGCAGCTTCTTTAGGAACAGCATGTCACTTCCCCCTCTCTTCAGTGACTGAATCTGCCACCTAACCTGTCTGACCTGGGGAAACCTGGAGGCAGGAGCTTGCAACCCCAGCTTCTCCAGGCAGCTTACAGATGATTCTTAATTATTCACCTACTGTGGCACAAACACAGCCTTCCAGCTAGGATCTTGGCAATGCTGCTTACTGTTGTTCTGCACACCCAACCTACCTTTGCACAATGCGTGGCCGAAGCATTTCAGACAACAGCATGCAGGCCTCCACGCAGGGAGAGACTTTACATACTGCCAGCTTCAATGGGACATGCATGTTTTAGTTTGGAAGCAAACAGCTCTTCAAAATGGCTTGTCTGCAAATTGGTACAACGAGCAGAGAAATGGTGCTTCCAAGACTCGAGCAAAGCTAGTCCAATTTGTGTCTTGGTAAGTTTGCTCATTGTGCAAAAAGACAGCGACCAGATGCAATGCAACCACACCTCCTGATCTCTCCTCCACTGGGGATGCTCTCAGACAGCTCATGTTTTAAAGCACAGACCCAACTGGGCACTTCACTGGATTCGGTCCCACTGTACCTACCACTAACTGCAGCACGAGCCACAACAACTGAGAAAAATCCAATGCACAAGGAACAAACAGCACCTTCTCCATCACTGCTCTCCGTTGGTGTTTTCTCATACTGAAATATAAAACACCCGGAACGCTAGAGGCGTCTGAGGTGCCTTTGTACAGTTACAGGAAGTACTTGATAACCTACGCTTAATGCCTGTCTCCTTCACTGAAGTAAACACTTTGTAAAAAGCGAATTCAGACAACTGGTCTTTGGCCACCCACCAATACTGTGACTGAACACTTTCAGTCTGCTCCATCTGAAAAACACCAGCATGATCATGCCCAAGCCTCCAAAAATGCTTCGCTGCAATAAAGCGTTACTTCTCTTCCCCTCCACCTTAATTCACTCTGCACATGCCCTTTATCCACTCTCCCTTTTTCACTTTGCATCCAGCCATTACCAAAGTAAGGCTTTCTATTAGATCTCACTGTGACTAATGCCTCTTGACTAGCTTTTAATCTGGATCACAGAGAGAAGAACAGAACTTGAATTTAAATTAAAAGCAAAAATTAAGCAGTTTAAGTATGGAGTTTATTCTTGCAAGCAAGGAAAAAAAAAAATGGGTCTTTCAAGAAAGTTCAAGACAGGATTAATTCCATTCCTGTTAAAATTAGCGAAAGGTTGATCAGCCACTCCAATGGCATTGCTATCAAATCAAAACAAAGTACTTTTAAAACCCCCATCTACTAAATTACATCATCCTTTAGAATCTTAAATAAAACTAGCAGTACAAACGCTTATGGTTAACCTTACAATGAAATAAATCGGTCTAGGAATCTGATCTTTATAGTAACTGCTTAAAAAAAAAAAAAAAAAAAAAAAAAAGGAGGTACAGAAACATTTGTGTTCTTAATGCCCTTCATTATCACACTGCCAAGTACAACCCACCTCCTGATCACCCACAATAGAGGACAGCAGCAAGACAGTGAAAACTTCAAAACTCCTAGAAAGTGCAGCAGCAAATGGCTGAAGAACAGCTGAAGGGCACTTTCTGTCACTGGATGTATCCTCAATTCATTTTCTAAAAGGTGAGATTAGTAATCTAAGACATGAAAGTCCAACAGAAATAATCCAAAATTCTTTTTTTTTTTTTTCCCTTTTAATAAAAAGAATCATCATAAAAGCTTCTCTAACCTTCCACCCAAAATACCTTTCTTGCACTAGTATTGCTGTGGATGCAAGTTCAATGCTGTTACAGGTTCATCATCCCTTTACATACCTGTTGATGAACTCTTGGAAAGAAGAAAACAGAAGGTAGTCAATGGCACTAAAATCTTGGTCTGTTTCATTTAAATGAAACTGCAAAAATACCAGTTCCTTTTTCTTCACATCACGAGGGCCTTGAACAACCAAAGCATACTTCTATAAGCAGACAGAGAGACAGTGAGAGTAGCAGAGGAATCCTCATTTCCCATTCTTGAATTTGTTGTCTGTCACTAATACTTTACATAACTCTAATACACATCGAGATTTTCCTGGCCTCTAATAAGTGCACACCTATTAAAATACCCCCAAATAATGTCTGCCTTGGTATTAACAAATTCCTTCTTTTGGTTGTAAAAATGAAGTCTCTAAACCAAGATTCAGTGTTTTGCTAAGAAATCTGCTCTAGTTCCATCCCAGTCGTTTGGGTTCATGTGGAATTACCAGTCAAGGCTCTGCAGCCTGCATTCTGCAGACAGACAATCAAAACAGTTTTAGGCATTACAGTCTAGGAACCTTCAGCTCTTGACATGAAACAAGTTAATTTGGAGTCTGATGTGGAGAACATCAGGCTTGTCCTCGAGAAAGGAACAGTTTCATAGCCCCGAGCACCCTAAGCAAGCTGCTGAGGAGGAATGAGGGGAAGAAAAAAAGAAAAAAAAAGCTAGCTGGCAGGCAGAATACAACTTAAAGTAGTGCAAGAATTACACTGGACATCAAGCTGTTGCTTGCAAAATGACTCCACCCATTTGAACATGGCTCTATGTGGTTCAGAGGTCTGCCTCAGTGCCTCTCCATTCAGTCATAGGACTGGAGCCTTTGGGATCTACAGGCTTCTAAACGAACCTACCACACAACATAAAAGGCAGGTTCTTAGTTTGTTAAAACATACAAAAATAATGTGAAATTAAATATTAAGACTTAAAGGACTGTTTTCAGATGTACTAAGGAGCTGCTTCCCAGAAAGAAATGGTGACTGGAAAAAGGCAAGACATGAAGATAGATAGGGGAAAAATAAGCTGACCAAAGAGGTAACTAAATTGTTTGTTCGTGTTTAGTTTCCTTAGAAAGGGCCTGAGCAATAACTTTAGATGAGATACAAATGATCATATTTAATGGTTTATTTTCTGAACATTTACCTGTACAGAGGCCAGATTCCCTGCGTTTTTAAGAGGAATTTAAGACAGATATATCAACATATCTTATTGGCACGCAGCACTTCAATACAATGAAATGCTTTGGTGCCCAATTAAGAATTTTCCAAGTGTGACAAAAATAGTATTTAACTCCTAGCAAAAACACAAAAAGACAGAAGTTATCCTGCTTCAAATTACATAACTGCTACTGCTTTCAATCAATCTTAGATTCACGTTATCAAGTTTGCTTGCCAATTCATTCAGGAGAGGAATTAAGGGGGAGTTTCATTGTGAAAAGACTCCTATTCCATTAAGGCTTTCATGTTGCACACAGCCACATGACAACTGATCATTCCTAACATATATACACACTGACTGGGGTCTTTTACATTTCTGAAAACAACAGGATAGATGGCTTGGGAAAAAAAAAAAAAAAAAAAAAAAAAAAACAGAAAAACAAACAAGCCAACCCTTCCCCTGAAGAAGGATATTTTGCAGCACTCCAGAAATATTTTTACTTTCAAATACCATTATGAACAGAAAACCCCCAGTGAATAAGTTTTACTCTATGATATTATTACCATCGTTTGATTAGTAAAAGGATCTGTGTAGTTGATTCTCCAAGTGGAGCACTCAATTTTTCCTTGCTGACCTGGATTTACCAGAGGCGGAATGTGATCATAGTAATGATGCTTGCAGCTAAGCAGCTGAGCCTTGCCTGGGTAGAAGGCAATACCTGTTTCGGGATTAAAAAAACAAAAAAAAAAAAAAAAACATTGAGAAGAGTTGACTTCTTTCTTATGTTCACAGATTTTCATTCTGGGATTTAATCCCACAGGATACTGAGCTATCTTGCCAAGATCCAGCAAAACAATCAAATTAAACTATGTGCTCGAGTATTTTCCTGTAGCAGGACAACAGTGCCAGCCACATCAGGACAGAAGCCCTGCAATGTGTTGCAGAAAATCCAAGTTCCAGTTCAGTAACCACAACTAAAAGTTCACAGAAGTGACTAAGTTTCCTTAGTCCTCCCACAAGCCAGCAGCTAATGAATGAGTTCCTCTGGCCCCAAATAAGAAGAATGTGTAAAGTAAGCCAGGAGACCACTGAAGTCAACATCTACGTGTTTCCAGATGCTGTCATTTAACACATCGTATTTTCACTGGAAAAAGCACATGTACTATACATGAGAGATTAAAGGTCACTGGCTGATCCTATAAAAGCAAAAAGATGCTATTCAGAACATCTAGCATCTTCTGTTCACAAAATATGTCATGATAAAAATCAAAGCCATAAAACAAGTACTAACTGTACCAATCTCGTTATTTTTATTGCTAGGTAGGCAGGCTACTTCTTCACCTTTATGGAAATTCATTCACATGTATATACCATAAGTTTGTGGTTCCACAGCAAGAGCAAGCATTAAAAAACTTCAGTCACCTCAGCTGTAGAAAGCTAGCAAAATATAAGACCCAAAACCAAAAATCCTATTATGCCACATTTAGTATTGGCAACAAACTTTCCTGAAGATAATCTAGACGAACTACCAAAAAAGTGTAATTTATTAGATACGATTAACTCACACAGCTGAGATGGCCTGTCCACCAAAATGCAAGATGTCAAAGCAGTCAGAATACATCAGTCTAAAACTGCTCTCTTTCTTTCTTCAGCGCTCCATGCTTGGAACTTGACATCTCATCTAACCTTAACAGAGCAATGAAGCAAAGGGCTACATTAATTTATGCTTTCTGACCTGGCAGGAATCCCCTGCCAATACTTCTGGATTTATAAGTATGTTGCTCTGTTTCTTTCAATGACATTTTCTTCCCATTGCTGTATAAAAAGCTCACATGCAGAAGAGAGAAAAGGGAAAATCAAGAAAGAAAAGGGAAAACACCTGCTTAATTTACTGTCAGAGCTATACAGGTCGAATTCAGAGACCTACTAACACAGCTGAGCCTAACTAACCATAGAGAAAAAAATACAGGAATACAGCAACACGAAACACTCACCTTTCAACCACAAGTACTGGAACAGTGATTTGTAAAATGTGGCAAGACATTAAAGCAGACATGTTATTTTTAAATAGGAAACTGACGTACAAGGAGCTTCCAGTGCTGTTTGAGCGGCACTTGCTGTCACAGCTTTATGTATGAATGGTTACTGGATAATTTAACAAAAACAATAATTCTATTTAATAATTCACTATTCAAAAAAGGTTTCTGCACAGTAATCCCTCCTGCAAACGGCAATACAGTTTTCTGGCACCATATCACATTTCTATGCCACCATTTCTCTGCAGCCACATAACATTGTCATTGCCTTCTGATGTAATACAGCACTGTACATAGTGCACAGCAGTAGGAAGCTGCACTGTGGGTTTTCTTGTGGTTTGTCAGGAGAATCCACCTCCTTAACTGTCAACAGCACTTCACTGTCCAGCACAGGAGTGAGACCCTGGTACAGATCCTATGTGCTACCCTGCTTGAATGGTGCTGTTTTGGGAGTGTTTCACTGAGGAATTATCTTCTTTCCCTAAAAGAGGGCTCATTCTGGAGTGTACAAACATTTCCTGTCTTTCAAACATTGCAGCACACTCCGCAGCTGCTGTCATTCATGTTACTGGCAGGAACCCCCACAGATCTGTCCTATAACATTCATAATTCCATGCAAAGTCAACACAACACAGAATAAAAATAAAAAAAAAAAAAAAAAAAAAAGGCAAGTAAAAGATCTGGGTCAAAGCGTTATATGAACTCCGGGCCCTGGAGAATCAACACTGAAAACACAGAACAGTGCAAGATCAATGTCAACAACAACTCTACCCCTTCAGTTTGTTACCAGACTTACCAGGTGCATCGTACAAGGACACTTCTTTGTAAGAGACAGACATCACGGGGTGCTTGAGCTTCTCCCTGAAGTCACTGATGGTTTGGTAGACAAGGAATACAGCTACAGCCATGAGTAGCAGATAAATAAACAGGAGAATTACTGAAAAAACATTCTTTAGGCAGGTCTTGCTGAAACGCAAGGAAGGGGCACTGGTACCCAGTTCACTATCTGGAACCAAACAGAATATGAATTAGGACTTTAAAACACAGATTTGGGGGCTGAATTTATGTAGTGTTGATTTAAAGATCAACCGCTTGAGAGGAAAGTAAAAGAAAATCATCTTGATTTAAAAAACACAACTATTGCTGTTTTTAGTGATCAATGAGACAGCTGCTTCCTTCTCCTGCATGAGGCACAGTCTTTGGATGATTGTGCCTTTTTTTTTCTCCACACATTGAATTTGGCATTCACTTAAGGACATGGAAGGAAACAAAGTTTATTTTCAAGAATGCCAACCCAGAAATAAAGTTCAAAGTTCATAAGAAACAATTAACAGTCAGTCTTTCCTCCTGGAAAATACAACTTATTCCCCTCCACCTTCCAATCTGAACTGATTCTGACCACGTTTAATGTGTGTCAGCAGAGACATTTTAATATTCTAATAATGCAAATAGCTGCGTAAGAGCATTATGTCTCCACCATAATAGCAGCGATTGTGCATTTGTTACCCTCTCATATCTGGGGTCTAATTCATAACTCCTTGTGCATACTGCAGAAAGTTTCACAAAAGGCTTCTTCCAATTATATCTAGAAAAAGGCAGACCTGATTCCTTCTTCCTTGCCTCTAAACCTTATCCTCTGAAGATCCTCACACTAGTCTCACCTGTACACACAGAACTATACAAATGCTTCCCCCCCCCAATACTCCTTAAAGTATTGTCAAAAGAAATGGAGAGTGCAAGGTAAAGGTTTAGGCACTCGAGTTACATGTCATATTTAGATTGTCAGCAATATATAGCTTAACACATAAAACAAGCATTAAAACCCAACATATTGGAGATAAATAGGCATATTTTATACTGACTTTTCTGTGGTGTGTAATTTAATGAGTCAGGCCCTCTCAGGCTATGCCACACTGCCCTTCAATTATAATAGCATGGTTTGGTATTTGGTCCTTACCACAGCAAACACTAGCCTTATTGTAGCTCCTGCTGAGCACATAACCTCATATAAAGGTCCGTGGCCACGCACGTGTTCTGAAGTTCATTGCCAGGAGATGTCAGCCAAGAAAATTAAGATATTGATATGCATAAAATTGCACTACTAACATAACAACAACAAAAAAAGCCATCTTAAACAGCTGCAAAATATTGAGGGGATACTCAGTTCCTGTTGGCTTACCTTACCACCCAAATCTGGGCTGCAATAAGCCCGTTTAACACTGCTCCACACTCTCAAAAAGCAGGTCCAAACAGTCTAACTAAAATCTGTTTTGAAGCCTGTGCTTGGTACTGCATCTTGCACACGTAAATCTGGCACAGACTTTGTTTGCAATCCACTGCCATCACAAACACTGCTACTCAGGAAAGATACAGCCAGCACAAACGGCAGATGACATACTGAGCTATCTCAGCAGCAGGTGTGACAAATCTTCCTTGACTGAGCACATTTCGTGACAAAGAAATATTCTCATCTCAATCCCCAGAAAAGCTCCTTAGCTTTCCAGCTATACTTATTCCTCAAAGTAAGTCACCTAGTGCTTTGTTTGCTCTCACAAGTGCAACTAAAAAAAAAAAAAAATCTCACACAGAAGCAGCTTATCAGTCACTTTAATTATCAGTCACTTTAAATTGGTAGGTTTTTGGCCAATAGTTCTCACCTGGTAAAATAACCGAGCTGACATCTTCATGAACTCCCATTTCTCCTCCTCTGTCCTCTGCTGGGTTTTCAGATACTCGCTCCACATCTTCACTCAGCTGTGTAGTTAAAACAGTGGTTCAATTTCCAAACATGCTCTCAACTCGCAATTGCTGGAATTTCTATGGTACAAATAAGAGAGGCTCCAACTAACCAGACACACAAAAGCATGCCCCCAGTCCAAAAGCACCCAGAACCCGTTCCACTTTGCGCAACTCAAGAGTCACATTTGCACAGTCCTATACCTGAAAATTACATGACTTGCGCACTGCAAAAGAGAAAGATGGCATATTACATTTAACCTACTTCTAGCCTGCTCCTTAAAGAATAGCATCACTTCTTCTTTCGAGATCCAAGTAATTGTTCCCCTGGCAGCTTCAGCTCACACTGAACCCCCAATTAGGGCAATGCCTTCTGAAATAAGCAGGAACCACTCAAGAACATATCTTTAGGTATTAACAAACCACAGCACAAACCAGCAAACAGACCATTAGCACTTCTTAATAAACGTGCGTAAAAAGTAAATTGCATTTGGACAGGTACTAGGGCAAATAACTCAAACGTAGTCCCAGCCACGTAGGTAGGTGGGTCATTAAAACACTACGAGCACCCCCAACATTTCTGGTACTGGCTTGAGCTCACTATAAATATTACTCGGTATTAGTGGTTATGCAACTAATTAGCCTCCCAGTGTTTCTAAATCAGCAGCAGCGACCAGATGTTTTCTTGTTTTGCTGTTCAGAGCTCTGGGCCCAAACTGCCAGGACACCTCCACCAAAGTCAGAAGCTTGTCGCATCAGATAGGCATCACACGAGATCACGAACCACTGGACTATTTTTCCTCCCCCGTGTGTTAGACATATCCACTGTATGTCTCCCAAGCTTCTTTCATGCCAGGGAACAACACACAAATTTCAGCACAGTGAGCTGGGGGCTTGCAGCCTATCGTGTTGCATGGGAACTGTCCAAGCTGAACACTCGGTATCAAATAGCTAATTAGATAAGGGAGAGGAGCTTTGGTCCTATTTTAAGGGAAACGGGTGCACAGTTCATGCAGTAGCCACACTGAATACTGTTAAAATTTACTCCCCCAACTTCCTTAACAGTAACATGCATGCATCCATAATGAAATATTTTCCTTTCAAGCAACTCTAACTAGGCATCAAAATTATCATCATTACACAAATCATCATTAGCATTTATTAGGAAAGAGTCCACTCATTTCACATCTCGGAAGACTGACGTAAAGCCTCCATCACCTCCTGACGTACTTCTGTATTTGTTTCCACCATCCACAGCAAGTTGAAAGCGGTAACCCGGTTGTTTTTAAATGCTGTGCACATAAATAAAGTATGATTTCCCACGGGGTGAGGCAAGGAGCACACAGGTAAATAACAGGCTACACATTCGGCTCATTTGCAGGAGACTTATGGAGGTACAACTGAAGATACTTGTTTCAATTTCCTTCATAAAATAAACGAAATTTAGGATGGCCTTAATTTAACTTCTGTAGGGCCACATCAGTTCTGTTTACCTGAACCCCAAACAAGCTATTTGGACACAGGAAGAATATTCACTGGGCCTTTTGCACCAGTTTTGCTAAATCAGCTAAAAAGCTGGTTCCAATCACACTCGTGCCAATTCCTCACAGCGGAGCCGACCCAAACAGCTGCCACAAGCTGCTGAGGCGCTGCAGTTTCGCAGCTGACTCCCACACCTCCTGGTTGGGCTCCCGGGTACGGACACCTCCTCAGCTGAGGTGGTGCAGAGGGTAGGTGAACTCGATTTTTGGCAGCAAGAAGGTATCGACATGAGTTTAAACAAGAACCCAATTTGCAACGCTTATCTTCTCAAGAGGCTCTACAGTGCTTCTAACACATAGGAAAAAGTCAGAAAAATGTAATCTCTCAGCATTCCTAAGAAACAAACAGGAAAACAATGCGTGAACACATTTTATTATCTCTACTAGGCAGGCAGGCAGCCCCACGTGCCCTTCACACATACCACAGGACAGATGGTCAAAAGCAGGGAGCGCGCACGTTGCCTCAGATGCACTGAGCTGAGCCACGAGACCGAGCCCCCAAAAAATAATAATTTCACTGCAAATCCCAAGCACCTGACCTGACAGGACGTGAAGGCAGGCGAGCACACCCACTGAGGCCACTGTGAGCCTCACGGTCCATCAGGGCATCACAGCAACACGCAGGGCTGCACTGCACCGCTGTGCCAGCTGGTCCTGGCTCCTCCAGAAACCAGGCACAATCCCCAGAGCACAGCACCCAGAAGCAGGGAAGCTGCCACACACTCACACCCACAGGCCAGCTCTTCCCACGTGTTTTTGATAAGGAGGCGAAGCGCGGTGATAACGCGAAGGCACAGGGACGGAGGACATGGAGATAGGGCAGGACACCGAGAGCAGGAAGGGCACAAGGAGGAACAACCTCGCTGAGCGCGCCTCGGGGCTCCCCAGGCAGCACTCCCCTTTCTCACACAGGCTTTTTTACACCCGTCAACTTCATCCCGATAACCACGGGGTAAAGCCTCCCTAGCGGGCACAGCCCTCAGCCAGGAGGAGAGCTCCTCTCTGCAGCTCTACCGCCCGTCCACCGCCCCCACCCCGCCGCGAAAACCCCAGGCAGAGCCCCCCCAGCAGCCAGCACCCCGAACCCATTCCCTACCTCCTGGTAGGACCCGGCCACCTCCGGCCTCGGCATCGCCCCGGCACGGCCCGGCCCGGCCCGGCAGGGACACGCAGGCGCCGGGTCCCCCCCCCGCCGGCCGCTGCCCGCCCCGCCGCGGGCTGCCGGGAGCTGTAGTCCGGGGCGCCCGGCTGAGGGGAACCGGATCAGTACCTGCACTGCCTGTGGGGCCGGGTTTGGGGCCGGGTTTGGGAATCTCGGCCCCATTCTCGGGCTCTGAGTAACGCGACGTTGGCCCGTGTGGCGTGGGGGTTCCCCTCACACGCATAAGCGGTTCTTTGTGAGGGTTGTGAGGACATTTCCCTGCGGGGTAATTGCATCAGTGTGCTCCTTAGTGATGGAGAAACTGTTTATTATTTTATTTTATTTTATTTTATTTTATTTTATTTTATTTTATTTTATTTTATTTTATTTTATTTTATTTATTATTACCTCACCTTATTTTACCTCACCTTATTTTACCTTATTTCACCTCACCTTATTTTACCTTACCTTATTTTACCTCACCTTATTTTACCTTATTTTACTTTATTACCTCAGACGCCTCACAACACAAGCTGTCCGAGGCAAGGACAACCCAACTTAAAACAGTTTTGCCCACTCCCCCTGAGAGACGTTTGCTCCCTTGGTGCTGCTAGCCATGCACCGAAGCAAGGGCCCAGCCTGGCACAGCAGCACCGATGATGGGGTGCTCCAGGAAAAGACCAAAAAAAAAAAAAAAACACACCATCAAACAACCTCATTAGACCTGACTCATGAGCCATCCGCACACAATTACCTATTTTTCTCCCCCAGCGTGTAATTGGTGACATTTCATAATCAAAAAAAAGCACGCAAAACATTTCTTGCACTGAGATGTAACACTGCAGTAAGTTGCTGCTGACCATTTCCCCGTGCCTAGGACCCAAAACCAGTACATTAATAACCAAGAACTGAAGTCCCTTGACGACAGCATTCCTAATGCACGGCCTCTCCTTTCCGAAACGATACTTTAGGTCTCGTTACTCATTTCACACGTGGCTGTGGCTCAAAGGCAGGCTCTAGCTCACCCCCAAATCCCTACCACTTCTGACAGATGTTGGCTGCTATTCAGCGCTTGCTGCCCTCCCCGGGGAGACACTAATAACTAATTACTTCAGAATAATAGGTAAGAGTATAATGTGACTTGAGCCAAACTGACAAATTAGTCTTCTGCATATTTCCAGCAGCATGGGTCTCTGCTGGAAGCCATGCAGGATGTTTGCAGGCCGAGTAACCAGGCAAATGCCAGAGCTCTTTCCAGTGTCTTGCTTGTGCACAACAGGAGTGCTCAGGAGCTGTTCTGTCCCAGCCCTTACTAAAGGTCTCTTTTCTGCTTGACATTTCCTATCTGTCTTGTGGTGTGTGGAGGCAGCAGATAGAAGTGATGCACAGACAGGGTGGGAAGCCCAGCTATTTCTGGGGCAGAATAGGCAAACTTCACTGCCTGAGGAGAGTCAGAGAAACAATTTTTAAGCCATCAGTGTAACAGCAGCGATATTCAGCTTGCCATGCCAGAGAGCAATCCACAGCAGCGAGATTCCAGGTGGCCTTAGCCTCTTGCTTCTCCCTGCCCTGGCTCTGCAGCATCAGGCCAACTCCTGGGCACAGGGACATGTCTTGTGGTTGTCACCTGTCTTGTGGTTGTCACCCCCATGGCCCGGCTCTGCTGATGCTTTCGTTGACCAGAAATCTACGGAGATGCTGGTTTGGGCTTGCTGCCACACCTCTGCATACACCAATGCACCCAACTGCCTGGGGAAAAAGGGCTGACCCTCAAGCAAGGGGTGTCCTCCTGAGGTGGGCTCATGGATTTCAGGCAAGAAGGGTTTATAAACAATCCTTGAAGTTCAGAACCGTTTCTCTCTCCCTGCTGAACTGCCTCTGACCAACAGAGCTCGCACTGCCAGGTGCCTTTCAGTGACCTGCTCCTGAATCCTCAGTTCCTCCCTTGCGGGCTGAGGGGTGCCACACGAACCTAGGAATGTTTAAAAGTTTCTAATTTCCTTAATTCTTGACAGAATTACAAACATGAAACCGATTATTCTTTTGCCAGAACGTTCCCCCACGCTATATTTACAACACGGGGACAGTGCGTCGTTTGAAATAAATAAAAAAAAAACAGTTTTTATTCCCTCCATCCTTCGGC